CCTACCTAACTGGGAAGCATCGTTTCAACTAATGGCGGACGAAACTGGTGAGGATATCAAAGCAAGACAAGCTTTCATTACGCTTAAGTTTGTGTGGTGGTCAACTGCACTCACCATCAAAAATAAGATCCGGATTTTCAACTCCAATGTGAAGTCAGTCAGTGCTACTCACTATACGGATCAGATGGCCAGGCAGAAAAGATCACCAACAGGGATCTATGGGAGCGAACCAACCCAGCAGGAATCGATTGTGAAACAAATAGGCAGGAAGAAACAGAGATGGATTGGCTGGCCATACTCTGAGGAGGTGCGTAGATGAAGCCCTATGTTCCTCTAGGAACTAAAGGATATAATAATAATAACAATAACTGAAGGCCGACCAGTGCAGTAGTAGTGGCTGTCTAGTTGGACTTGCTTCTTCTGCACACACACACACAGAGTACCGATTGTTTTAGGCGGATCGCAATAGCCTCCACTGTTTGGAGTATTCGCTCGGTACCTGGATGCTTTCGGCAATTTACTTGGTACCAGATAGATGCTGGTGGAGATGGATTCTTGAATGCTGGCTGGATTTGTGTCCCGGTTTGGACTAAGTGATCTGATATTAAACTTGATGGCTTTCACTATACCTTTATTTAGCCACAACACTTGTAGGTCTTCCCGAGGAAGAGCACAAGAATTCAAATTCGTCGAGCAAATAGCCAATATAACTCGCTCCATCCTAACTGCAGTTGAATTGGTAAATACAATTCGAGGTGGCTAGTCCGGTCTAGATACCTTATTTTTCAACTGAGGAATCAAGCTTACAGATGTTATTGAAATGTAACCAATTGATATCATTATTGATTGAATCGCAGTTATTCAAATAACAAAATACTTGCCGAATACATTGGCTAGCGGTCGCGCTATATCGTGAATTGGCAGAAGTTAGAATTCATGGGCTGGCCATTGGATCGGGTCCCAGTGGCTTAATGGTCTACGAGCTCGCCTTGTAACCAGAAGGTCGTCGGTTCGAAACTCGGTGGGTGCGTACTGCTGAAGAGTCCCAAAATAGGCTGACGAAACAGCTGTCCAGTACTCCCAGCTTGTTTTCCAATGGTTCTCTAACTAATATCAGCTCACGATGAAATCCTGTAACATTATTAGTGTTGTTCATAATCCTAACTCTCTCATCATTATTATAGATGGATGCATGTAACTGTAGAACCCGATGATGGAACCATGAATATTCTTTGTCCAGTAATCAGTTTTTTGAAATGCCAAATGATTGGTCTTTAATGATGCTTGTACTGGTTTTAAGGGAATTTCGTTTAATGGTTTGAGGATTTCATCATGAGCTGACATCGGTTATAGAACCTTAGGAAAACCAGCAACACGGAGTACTGCCACACAGTTGTTTCCTCGGCTTAGTGCTTAAGCTAGACTGGCTGTTCTGCAGTACCCACCCAGTAGGGCTTGAACCCAAGACTTTTCGGTTGCAAGGCGGTCTTGTACACCATTAAGCCACTCACTGGAACCCAATCCAATAGCCAGCCAGCCAGCCCATGAATTCTAATTTCCGCCAATTCATGTAAGACATAGCCCAACCACTTCACAATGTCTTCTTCGATGAGTTATTGCAGTACCAGTAGTATACATGAGGTCACAGATGAGGACAGTTACTCATTGAATAAGACATTGTGAATTGGTTGCTCTATTTTGTGCGTGAATTGGAAGAAGAAGTTGAAATTCATGCACTGATCATTGGATCCAATCCCAGTGAGCTGATGATAGATGGTCTGCGAGTTGGTTCCCCTTGTAACTGGAAGGTCTTGGTTTCGAACCCTGTCAGTGTGATAGATGGGTGAGTACTGTTAAAGAGCCAGTCCAGTCGCAAGCAATAGGACGGAGGAAACAGCTGTTAGGTTAGTTTGTGGTTCTCTAACCAACCTATGTCAGTACTCATGATTTTTCTTATTTCACCATCTCCACACAGAATCAGGGAGAGTAATATAAGCTTGCCTTACTTTACCGATGATCCTAGCTTCGATGAGATCCACATCAGTTCCATTCGCCTTTTGTTGTTGAAACGATGTTTTCCAACTAGGTAGGTAGGTCGGTAGGTAGGTGAGAGAAGTTGCTTCTTTCAGATTCCTCTCATTTTTGCAGATTATTATCTGTTACTCTTGTTGCTGTTGCTGCTGACGGGCAGGAATCAATCTGAATCACCAGCTGTGTTTCCTCTCTGTTCACCTAAAGTGAAGTCTTATCTTTTCTGGATGCTTCTTCTATATCAACTTGTTTTTTTCACTTGTACATCATCTTCCAGTGTGTGAGAAATCAGACATCGGTGAAATCCAAATCGTTCAAGTTTTCTTTTGTATGTGGGTCCATTTGTTGATGCCTGTCTTCTCGTCCCCCGCCCTCGCCACCATGTGTCTGTGTCACATTATTCAGTGAGTCCTACCGCAATCAGGAAAATCTTTGTAGGCAGGCAGCCAGTCAGTCAGTTTGTGTCTTACTCCCGTTTTGACTTTGAAAGACTCAGTGAGTTTCCTGTAGGAGGGGGGGATAACTTGACATTCGTAGCAATATCGTACAACTGTTGGATGAGGTGTATAACTGTTGGTTGCATCATTCGTACTTCTCCTTCACCAAAGTCAAAGAAAACCCCATTAACTGTTGTTTTTTCTCTTCGTAAACATACACACACACACACACACACACATAGAAATCAATGAAGCAATTAGTTTATTGAAATAATAGAAAAGATTTGTAACTCAGGTGGATGATTTGCAATTAATAGTGTTCTCTAAGCTGGTTGGTTTAGTTGCGGAGCAAATAAAGGGAACACCAATGGGATCATCGCCCATATCAGGACTAATAGCTGAAGCCGTTATGCAAAGATTAGAATTAATAGCCCTCGCTACCTATAATTAAACCGAAAATCTCGACAGGTACGTTACGTTGATGATAAATTTGTAATAATTAAGAGAAATGATTCAGAATATACCCATAAATTAATAAACAACATATTTGAAGACATTAAATTCACCATAAGAGAAGAAGAATTAGATAACAAAATCCCATTTTTAGATGTCTTAATCAGAAGTTATTATTATTGTTATTGTTAGAAACAACATAGGAAATTTTGAAACACAAGTATGTAGAAAATCAACGCACACACACACAGATCAAATACTCAACTATTCTAGCAATAATCCCAATTACTCACTCACAAAAGAAACTGTGTGCAGACATTGCTTAGAAGAGTTCAAACACACACTGCAGCACTCCAGAGTTGAAAAGAATGGAAGAAAAATACTTACAAACGGTCTTCAAGAAGAATGGTTATCCATAAAATTTCATCAAAAAGTGTTTGAAATCGAATCATCAAAACACCTACAAAGAACCATCACCAAAGACCAAAAAGAAATTCATCCTACCATACATCAGAAATATCTCTGAAATATAACGGCTAGAATAATGAAACCGTTTGATATAGATAGATGTAGCACACAAACCAGCCAGCCGAATCGCTTAATTCGATCTTATGCAAACCAAAAGATCCGATAGAAAAAGGAGATAAAATTAACGCCATTTACAAAATAAATTGGATGTATGAACTGTAACAAACATTACATCGGCTGTCGAAGTGGGCGTCCCCTTCGAATAAGAATCCAAGAACACAAGTCAGCCATGAAAAGACATGATATAAATTCTTTAGTATCAATGCATACAGATAATTATGGACATCAATTTGATTGGGATAATATCAAAATCTTAAAGAGAGGAAACACAACACCAACTGTGCAGTCAGGGAATTCTTAGAAGCCTGGTACTCAAATGAAAATGCCATTTAATAAACACGTTAATATAGATGAAATATATCAACTATGATAAAATGCAAAAATCAGTTGACCAGAAAGTTTAAAATCCCAATCACAATAGAAAAGGGTCAATACACACATATGTGAAGATGGTTGGTCACCACCAGGAGACGCAATTGTATCATCCATCATTCATGGAGATTTCTTAATCATTTAACTCTATGCTAAATACTGCGCTGAAGATGCCGTCCAGAAAAGGGGACGACGAAAGCTCCGCAACTAAACCAATCAGCTCAGAGAACACTATTAATTGCTCATGATGAAATCCTCCATGCATTCAAACAAAATCCCTACAAAAACCAATACTTGAAAATTAATCTGATGTGCTCACTAGTGACTGGCCCTATTCAGGCAGTTAACCTGGGGTTCTACTGGGAAGCCGTGACCAGTAGGGCACAGCAGGTTGAAGATGAGGCAGTAACTCATCGAAGGAGACATTGCGAAGTGGTAGCGCTATGTCGTGCAAGAATTGGCAGAAGTTAGAATTCAAGAACCATTGGATCGGGTCCCAGTGGCTCAATGGTCTACGAGCTCGCCTTGTAACCAGAAGGTGGTCCTGGGTTCGAATCCCGGTGGGTGCGTACTGCTGAGGAGTCCCAAACTAGGACGGGGGAAACGGCTGTCCAGTACTCCCTGTGGCAGGTTTTCCAGTGGTTCTCTAACTGATGTGTCAGCTCATCATGAAATCCTCCATGCAATTGCAAATTAGTTTATTATTATTATTATTCTTATTTATTGACAAATAAATTGCAAATATTTGTTCTATTTGTTATAAATTCATTTATGCATTCAATGTAACGAAATGTATTTTGTCTGCGTGTGTGCGTGTGTGTGTGCGTATGCGTGTGCGTATTAGTGTGTTCAGCATACATATACCCCCAATTTTAAAAAAAGAGCTGGACACACAGAAGTACTTAAAGATTGTAAGACAGACCAGTAAATACATACGCACACACTCACACATGTATTATAATTGATTGTGTACATGTGTATGAATGGGTGTGTGTATACCTGTTTATGTAAATATATAGGTATGTTTACATTGTGTACGCGTGTATCTGTGTGTCTCTCCAGACGATCATTCCTATTGGTCAATAAATTGAATGTGTCACATAGATGATGACCTTTTTAGTGATAATTATTGAATTTGTATGGCTTGGTGTGCATCTCTCTTAGCCGTCCATCCATCCCACCATCCAACCATCCATCCATCCATCCATTGTCAATGTGAAAAAAATAAAAAATAAAAAATCGAAATCGACTTCACAAATTCTTCATCATTAGGAGCTACTTTCCACAAAATAATAATCATAATCATAATTAAGAACCAAAAACGAATCATCCTAAAATAATTAGCTGTCATGTCATGAGTTCTACGTCGCAAACTACTACTACTACTACTACTACTAGTCAACTTTTTGCTAGGCGGATTTAAATTTTCTCCAACTCCTGCTGCTGCTGCTGCTGATGATGATGATGATGGGATGGTGGTGATGAGGAACCTGGGTGAATATATATTTTTTGGCAATAATTTTGGAGTCATATCTGCTATATGCTACTTATTTCTCATTGTCATGTTCACCCTGCCTCTTCACACACTGTAGATGACATTTGGTTATCAGACGGACTGAAACTAACCTCTTTATTTTTTTTTATCGTGTAATCGAATTCTCCAAAAAAATTAAAAATTTCAACTCAAACATCAACATTACAAATGAATATCGGCTTAGTAATTCACCTGGTAATAGTAATATGCTTATTAACACAATTCATTATCTATCCATCATTGACTGAAGACGTCGTCAGAAGAGATCCATTCAGAAAATACTCTGCTAATGATACACATCATTTGACGAGACACCTAAGAAGTAGTCCTGGCAGAAGATACCCATATCATAGACTTGCTAGAAATCGTTTGAATCAAACAAATCGGTTTAGTAAATTCAAACCAATATCTATTGAGCATAGATTAAATTTATCCTACCGGAATAATTCAACTCATAACAATCACAATATTCATGAAAGACTTGTCAATGCGAAAGACTATTTTATTCCAGAATCGATAATATTTGAACCGGAAAAAGATTTGGCACAATTGTATCCTCAAAGTTATTGGCTTGATCCTTGTAAAGCAAGTAAGTTTAGTTCTCAGTATGCTCTCATATTTATTTTATTAAAAACTGATGTTTCTCCATGAATATTATTGCTCTGTCAACGTTTTTTACATATGGCTACACGCGTCTGCCCACACACGCCTTCACCTCCTCTTCGCATCACCACCTCCGCCTCCATGTCAACCTCGCTCTAATGACCGACTGACTCGCCACTTTCCGTTTGGGTCCCACTCGAGTGACGGCTTGTCATGTGTCATGTCACTTGATGGTTTGTTTTCTCAGAGTATAGCCACAATATAATCCACCTACCTCCATTTGTTACTGCACATTTGATACACATTGGTTCCTGATGGGTTGGTTGGTTGGTTGGTTCATTGACAGAGATCCCTACTAGTTGCTGATCTTTTCTGGTCGGCCGACCATCTGATCTTGAGCGAGCGAAGTATTGAGTGGAGACAGCTTTTCATGAAGGTGTGTAGTTTGTTCAAAGTGGTCTTCATGGCTTGGCTCCAAGTCTTTGATTCGTATAGTGAGTCTGTCTGTCTGTCTGTTTTCGACATAGAACTTTGCACAAATGTGCGCCACTTCAAGTCGCCACACTTCCTCCATGTAGCACACAAAGCAAGAGAAGAAAGTACAAGAAATGCATAATAGAGACAGTAAACAGAGGTGTGAGACAAAGGAATAGTTGTAACGAAGAACAACATAGTTTAATTGGAAATCATAAGTCACAAGGAGTGGATGCATCTGTGCTGGCCACTGAGAACGATTTTGAGCCATGTCATCAATTGTTTCCAACCATTTGTTTTTACCACCCTGGAAGTCTACACCTTCTTACATGGCTTAGACTAACTGTTGTGGATTTCACTGACTGGTGCCAAGTTTTTGTTTGACCGCCGCTAGCCTTTATCCAGCCTGACCCTATGTCCGCTAACATTGTTCGTCGAGGAAGGCGATGACCAGGCTGCCATGCGTAACACATGTCCTAACCATCTCAGTTTTTGTAAATTCACGGCTTCGTCGATTGATTTCCCCTGTTTACCTAGAACTCGACAGACGCCTAACCTCAATATTGCTCACCTTATTATGCCACCACTTCACACGGGAAATAGACCGCAGGCACCTATGATCAAAGACAGCTAGTCACCCTTTTCATGTCTTCCACTCTCAGTGGCCAGGTCTCACAGCTGGCCATAAAGGAGGACGGAGCGGACTGATGAGCAGTACAGTGAGTAGCACTGACTTAAAATTGGAGTTGAGAATCCTATTCTTATTTGTCATGAACTTCTGAACTTCTGGTCTCTGTCATAAAATTGATTCATCATTCTCAACTTGAAACTGCAAAAAGAAATAAATACTTTTATATGAGGTTAAAAAAATATTCTTTCGTATATATACTACTAAAATACAGTGGTTGAACACTAGTCAGTACCTATTGCGATGTGTCTGGCTAGTCGTGTCTCTTTTTGTTGTAGACTGAATTCTATCAGTTAGTCAAGTTTGCAATGTAACCACTATGCCGCTACCTGGCTCGTCATCATGGCGCATATTGATTTGATTGTTTTATTTTATTCATTTTGATAATAGCTTGATTCCAGACAGTATTTTGTTACAAGTATGGAATTTTCAGCATATGATATCGGTAGGCCAAATTCTGCAGGCTAACCATTGATATGATATGTGCGTCGGCCGGGGATCAAACCTCTTGACCATGTGCATAGTCGGCGAGAGTCTTAACCAGTGTTCAACTGAAGATAATCATATCAGAGTGATTCGTTCTGATGACCTATTTTGCCTAGAACAGGTTTACTTTTCTACAGTGTCAGCTACTTGTCAAATTTACATTCATAAGTTAAACGTCTTCATAGTTGCTTCCTCTGTAGTGATTAAAATTCACCTCTGAGGCTCTGTGTACAGAAAATCAATCATCACGTTCTATTGAGTAGTCAGGCTGAACTTCTTTGAGTTACTGACAGTCAAAAAATGCCCCCCCAAAGACAGCGAAAACACAGTTGTTTGCAATGGAATCCGAGGTAATATATATTCAACAATAAAAATAATATATCCAGACATCTTTACAGATTTAGAAAAGTCCCTCGAGTATAGTATAAACATTATATACAAAAGAATTACTTCACCAGAGTCAAGTGTAAGAAGTACCTGAGTGAAAATCAAGCAGAATGTGTTCCCAATAATGTGGGATCCTACAGACAGTCCAAGGTCATAATGACCTGCATTTACTCAAAGTAAATCACAGTCGTAGAACAATGCATCATCAATACCACCACCCAATAAAAAGGAAATGAGTCAACAGAGTATATGCAGATATCATAACAGTGACATGCAGTCTAGTAGAGAAAGTATACAATTGGTGGATAGTGGCTAGCAGTGGAATCCAGGATAAAGCGCATTTCGTCCTATTTGGGACTCGTTTTCCAGCTGGATGTACCTGCATTTCTCAGTGAGTGATGATGATGTTCCCACCACGGAGGCTCGAACCCAGTGCCCATAGTTTCAAACGCCAAAGCGTTATCCACTAGATCACTTGGGCCACGAGAGCCACCTCTGGTGCAACGGGTCATATTAATTATTGAATTGAATTTTTGATTTTTGATGTCAACCTGAGACCGAGCACTTCGGTCCAATCAATCGACCGGAAAATCAAAAATTCAATTCAGTAACTAGTAGAGAAAGGTTTAATAACTAGTGAGTTGCTCGGAACATTCAAATATGTTCGGAATTTCCTATATAACCCTGAAGGCTGTTTTGGTATCGATGCTGTGTCCAGTATCGACCAAGTGGGTGTGTGTGTACATGATAGAAGTGAGCATTTTATACATGCGATTTCTCCCTTGCTGAACCAAGCTGGTAAATGTTCTCGAACCGGTAAGTGAACCCGTCTAATCGTGTGCTCTATATAACTTGAACTACAGGAACAGTTGAAACGGTATACGTATGAAGAAGGTTAGGTAGGACATCTTTAAGTCGCTAGATGAACATCGGATGACTTCTGAAGGATGGAAACATATGTGCAAAGTAGAAAGTTTTCTCTATCGTCATGGTTAAACGTTGTGATAAAATCTCTGCGGTAGTAACTCTCCTGAATTGTAGACCTAAAAGGCTTAAAGGCTTTTTCTTCATCGTTGCCTGTATATATTTGTGACTATTGTAACGTATGTTGGCTTTAACGACGAAAACAAGGTTTTATTTTTACGTCTAAGATTAAGGGGAGTTCTGCAGAACACAATTTATTACTGTTCATAATCATGCCGTCAACCATACAACCAGACAGCCTCGAAACTTTCGTATTATAGTACTCTTTCTGCCTCGTCCTCGTGGTAGCAGAAGTTTTAAGATGTTCGTATGGACAGGTGTTGAAACCATTATACTACACACATATATTTTCAGTTGATTCGATAAATAAATGCTTCTTTATCAATCGCTCCCTCCACCCAGTTATATTAGATTTTAAAACTGTCATCTTAACCCATCATCCTATATTGTATGCTTGTGTGCAATTGCATGTACTGAGTGGTGTAGCTGAACTATTCTTCAGATTTCTTGTTTTATCTTATCTTCGAGTTTCGTGATCCGCTAGTGTGAATGACCCCGTTGTACTAATCTGAACTATGTATTTGGTCTGACATTCATCAAAGCTAGGTATACAAAGGCGAATCCTCCTCTGCTGTGTTCACTGTGCGTCGGTGGCACAGTGGTTAGAACTCTCGCCGACCATGCACATGGTCCGGGGTTCGAGCCCTCGCCGACGCACACCTGATATCTATGGTTGGCCTGCGAATTTTGGGCTACCGATATCCACGCTGAAAATTCCACACTTGTACCAAAAATACGGTGTGGAATCAAGCTGTAACCATAAAAAAAAAAAAAAAAGCTGGTGTCCCCCAAAGTGCCGTACTCTCCCCACTTCTCTTTTCTTTCTTTCTTTCTTTCTACATGACCTACCATCTTCAAATGACATTACCTTTGTCAAATATGCTGATGACCTAATTGTATCTTTACCTGTCAAATATCAAAGTGACTGCTCTAAACTAAATGGCTTTTTATCAGAAATCAGCCAATGGTCCAAGGAAAATGGTCTCACCTTAAACCCCTCCAAATGCCAAACAGTTAATTTCACCTTTAGGCACAAATCTGACCTAAACAAACTGGTGGTTAGCACTCACGAGGTGTGCAACACAAATGGCACTGAAATAAAGAGAGACCAAGTCGGAAATTAAATACCTAGGCGTCATTCCATCTTCTGATCTTTCCTGGTAGTCTCATATCTTGACGATCATTTCTAAGAAAATATTCCGTCTTACCACCTTCTACATCAAGAAGTTAAGACATTCTGGTGTAACCCAACCCTTACTCCTACAATTTGTTAACTCCCGTATTCTGCCTATTGTTCTCTATTGTTCCCCCTTAGTGTTTCCTGGGTTATTGAAGAAAGACTATACCTTATTACGCAGGATGTTAAAGGTTGTCAGCAGGGTAAGCAGTTTGCCACTTAACCAACCAGCTTGTTAATATTCTGTTGGACAGGCACATGGACTCATGTGAAAAATGGGCGAAATCCATTTTATCTGACTCACAACACCCTCTACATTCGCAACTCTCCCCATGTATCCCTTCAGGGAAAACCAGAAGACTATATAGGAAACTATATGCGCGCACTAGTAAGTACAAAAACTCATCCATACCCGACCTAGCTCGTGTTCTGTGCGACAGAGAATAAAGCGTTAGGCGTGAAGCCTTTAACTTATTAAATAGTCAGTAGAACTAATGGATCTCGTCTTTCCAACTCACATCATTTACAGGTAAAACGTTTTCTCTCTACCTTTTTTTCTCTTTCTGTATTTATTTTGTTATGTGCTGGTTTGTTTCTCTCTTCCTTACAAATTCTACCTAAAACATTCTTGTTCGTTCTTTCACACTCTCTGTATATCTCAACCATTTTTCTATCGCTTACGCCAGTAAATATGCTAGTGGTATCTACTTTTGTAACACCTTCAAACACT